ATAAAACTGGTGGCCCCGGCCCCAAAGAAGACAAAAAATACTACACAAGCCTCAACGGGGGACCCCCCCCCCCCCCCCCCCCCCCCAATTAAGGAAAGGTCGATCTGGACCAACCTGTTCGCACCACTACGGCTGGGAATGGACGTTGACACCACTTTACCCTACTTGGGTTAAGTGTGAGGCAATGTCAAGGGGATGCGATTGTAATAATTATGCTGGGTTCTGGCCCCGAGACGAATGATACTGAAACATTCTCATTAGTTCTATGACGAATGTGAGAAATGTTAAAGTAACTAAGGCTGTGTCTATGAAGAGGTTAAAGGTTAGGACAAAAAAGGTTGGATTTCAATGGGAAAAAGGGGAGAAGAGTCGTGGTCTTGTACGGGCTCTTCTCGCCAACAAACTGTTATAAAAAGGGTAGAATTTCCCCCCTCTTGAAAAGTAGTTCAGAACCGTTGAGAATTATTCTATAGTATAGTTCTATAGCCTAATAGTATAGACAAGTGCCCAAATCGTAAAACCGCCTCTATTATCTTTGAGAAACGTTACGCGACATATTCGATTCTCAATCGACAATTCTGTCGCATCCGCACATCTCTGAACTCGACCATATAGCCCGTGACAGTAGGATCAAAAATGATATACAGTAGAAACTACTTTTTTCATTTTTCATAGCTCCAGCTACGTCACTATTACTAGACGTTAGGTGACGTAGTATTCTTTTAACTTCACTTAAAAATATTCGTTTTTTTTTTAGTCATTGTACATGCAGTTCGTAGAATCAAGCCAAAGTGGAAATAATAAGTGCCAATAATTTTGAATTATTGGCGAATACGGGTGTCTGGACACGAACTGGCCCGCATGAATTAACCGTAAGATATGTTTCGAGATTCGTTTGACGAGCGAGGGCGAAAGTAGTCATTTGAAATTTTACGTTTGTTACGAAGCTCAGGTCTGGTTTTTCAGGATGCATGTTGTTGATTCAATTTGTTATTTTTTTTTACATTTGTTTTTATCTTTTTTTTTACGTTATTTATATTATTTCGGGAAGTATGTTTAAATTTTTCTTAATGAATAATTATATTTTCTTTGCCTGCATTTACCTAATTATTATTGTTTGCCTAGAGTCGTCGACGTTGATGTCGTTATTCGCTCTTCGATGTTTTCTTTTTTTTGTTTGGAGTTAACTC